ACCTAGCCGTCTCCCATACCCCTAACACCACCTGGCCATCCCTCTACACGCGTCACAGCACCTAATCATCTCCCTACACGCTCCAAAAATGCAGAGAATCTGGGTGAGTAGTACACGCATGATATTGGTTCATCTTTGCCCTCCTCCCTCTCCAGGCTGATCAACAAGTCATCTTAATTGTTTTTGTCACTAGTTCCTTTTCTCTTAACTTTATCTGTATTTTTCTGGGTTTTTTTTTAATATTTCATCATTATATTTTGTTTTTTTAGGTGTTTTAAATGGTATTAGTTATATGGGTCGTTTTATTCGTTAAAGTGGACTGGTTAATGTAGAGTGTGGTTAACGAAGGAGAAATGGGATGAAGGTTAAAGTTCTGTACAAAGATTAAGAACAATTTATGATCAAATGATGGTCGGGGGAATAACTGTGTGTAATTTATAGGTGATTTTATAACGTGTTCTCTATAATTATTAGAGTGTGACGCGCATTATACCTCTCGACTTTCTGACGTGTTATATTACTCCATATAACCGGTTCATTCTGGCGTTAGAACACACACACACACACACACACACACACACACACACACACACACACACATGCGCGCTAGGCTGGGTGATGGACACACACGCACACGTGCATGTGTGAGGGGGGTATGTCTCACAGGGGCGTGGTGGATACACTCACATACTGTATTTTTTTCACAAAGGTTCTAAATTATGATAAAATTTCCACCATTTTTTCCCAGGATAGAGACACTACAGTTTTTTTGTTTTTTCTTTCGTAAAATATAAAAACTTGGCATCAGTAAGGAACTTAATACAAGAACAATATCAGTATGGAGCCACTTAGTGTGTTCCTTTGAGTCTTTTTGATCTTCATCGTCTTGTCCCGGCTAGAAAATTGCAGCCACTTACTCCCTGTCGTGGAAGAGCCGTGACACCTGCTGTCCACCTCCCACCATTTTCATAAGTCTAGTGTGTTCCTCCTCCCCCTCCTCCTCCCCCTCCTCCTCCTCTTCTCCTCCTCCTCTCCTCCCTCCCCTCCTCCTCCTCCCCTCCTCCTCCTCATTATCATCTTCTCTCACTTCTCACGCCTCGCCCCCGCTCATTACAGGTTCTATTTTTAAGACATATTGCTTCTCACATCAGAGGCAAAGAAAAATTCGTCTTCTTTAGCTCATGGTCTTGACTACGTATTTTCCCACCAGGTAAAAACACTTTTACACACCTGAGGAACCTAATTAATGCAGCGTCGTTTATTATAGCTTCCAACTTTAATGGCTACTAGTGAATACATACTTATAGACGATAGATTACTGTAAATATTGATTGTGAAGTTCTCGGAGCAAACACTCATAAATCCCCCTTCATATCGTATCGTGGTGATGGTGTTCCTCCATTCATAAACGCGAGGTGTTTGCAGTCAGTCTGTCAGTAAACACGGAGGCAGACGACGCAGGAGGGTAGCAATAGACTTGTTTACGCCCGTCGTTCATGGCATATCACCCGTGACTCTTGCAGATCATCTAGGTGAGCGTGTCCCCTCACCAAGTCTTGGTAATAAAGCCAAATCGACGTAAAAAAAAAATTAATTCTGGTTGGCTTCTACACTAGAGCCATCACCGTCGATTATGATTTAACTGAAGTATGCTCGACCGACTATTTTCCAATTGCAGTGAGTGAGTGAGTGAGTGAGTGAGGGCGTGAGTGAGGGCGTGTAGCCGGGTTGTTGACATTGAAGGTGTGGATAATGCGATATCTGTGCCTCATCTCCACTCTTGAGTCACTTGATAGTATTGGTGATGTGGGTGATGGGATATCTCTCTTTCTTCTTATTCAACTCACTAGCAATTAAATTTATTCCATTCCTAAATTTAATAGTGATGGATTAACATTAAGAAGAGAAGAAAGGGAAATACAAAGAGTGAAGCTTGAGAACTGTAAAGAGAAGCAGGTCAGACTCAAGACAAGAAACAGGAACACTACACACACACACACACACGCACACACACACACACACCCACACACACACACACACACACACACACACACACACACACACACACACACACGCGCGCACACACACACACACACACACACACTTCCTCATCTTTGTAACTCGTCCAATTTGTGGCGGTCTCGGGTGAGTCATGTACTGTACAGCCAGAAAGTCTACGAGGTTGACAATGAAGTTCTCAAGGTCTTGTAAACTGTCATAACTAATGCCAATGTAGTAAGACCTGAAAACTCGTGAGAACACCATCTGTGGACTCTTTTAAGTGCTCTTTCAGTTATATCTAGAGGTCAGTGTATATCCCGTATCTGTTTGTCCTGAGAAGTGAATGACCGCCCGACCGTCTAATCAACTGACGAGTGACGAAGACTAAGCATAAACACAGGTGATTGGTTAGCTCATTCGTCCTTGTTAAATATATAATGAATTAGAATCACGAGGTAATATTCTTCCTTAATATTTCTCCTAATATTAGACACTCTGATAATTATATTAACATCAACTTCTCCATTCTAAAACACGCCCACAAGACCCGTCACAACAACAACCGCACCAAGCACGTCAGTAGTGTCCTCTAGTGACAGTCACCCAAACCACGAATCTCATGAATAGAATACTCACATGGTACAGTTGAAGACGTTGTTAAAAATCCCCGAGGTGTTGTGGTTTTGGGTGTGTTAAGGAACCAAGGAAATTTCTGTCATGTAATTACTGTGGTCGAGGTTTTTACAGTGGTTGTGTGAGAAGTGGAGATAGTGACTACAACATTATAATGATATAATCTGCTGTACACTGTTGGCATTACCTTGGTTGTCACACGCGGCTGTTGCAGACCTTCAGAATAAGAAAACTTCCAACTCCGAAATAACAGGAGATGGATCCAAGTCGGCAAGTATATAAAAAAAAGTTGAAATTATTATTATTCTCAAAGCTGGGGAAGAAATTGTAAGAACAGGGGAATTACTCGACTGAAATTACGCTCTGGTTATGACAGGAACTTAAGAAGTAGGTGTGAGGGGAGTGAGATCAGAGGAGCCAATACAAGAGTTAAGGATCATCCTGGAGAGAGTGAAGTGGGTTAAGGTCAATACTGGTGAGCACTTCACATCGTCCTGAGTATAAGAACAATATTGTTGTGTATGAAGCCCTGAGAGACAGTCAGATGAGGCTGAAAACTAGAATATACATGACGATGGGTTTTCAGAGTATTTGTAGTGACATTTGTACAACAATTGTTCCATATAAAGAAAGATAAATCAAGAGACAACAGGGACGGAGGCAAGTGTAACCATGAGGAACACGGGGGATGTGTATGTAATATGTTTATTCTCGTTAAGAAGTTTAGAGCCAAAACATTATTGTAAATCTGAAGCTTCATGAACAAATTGCTCTGATTACCAACAGATGGGGCGCTGTTCCAAGTATTTTTTGGTGTATGTGCGTGTGTGAGTACATGTAGGTTTACATGTGTGCACGTGTGTGTGTAAACAGACTAGATCATATCAGTTATATTTGCACCTGTGAATTTTATTGTCTGTCGCTTAACGGTCGGGGCACGATGACTGGTCAAATGGACCTTAGTTCTCATAGGCCCAAACGAACCATAACAATCAGAACTATACACCGGGTCTAATGAGCCTCACCCTAAACTAATCACTAGAATTGCAGCTCAGTCCAAATGTGTCCCAATCTTGTTAAACTCTAGTGTTTAAGTTAAAATATAGAGGACCCTATACTATTAGGATTAGTGATCAATTTACCTACAACCACGAGAGAGGCAGACACAAATTTACTCAAGTTTACCATTAAATAAGTTGTCCGTAAATTTAGTTTTCTTCTTATCTCTTTAGGGGGAACTATACAGTTCTGTACGTGCTGTCTTGCCTTCACCTTTATCCTCTTCACCACTCATCGGCTCGTTAGCCGCTTGGGCGATCGGTTACGTCTCTATTACGCACTGTTGGCAAGTACTGGGCATGCACTGGCTCCTGAATGTATCTGAACCTGATCCAGTGCTTGGCATGGTAGTTTGCTTATACAGTACAATGATATAATATATATTTTAACAACCGGTATAATAGTAATATTATAAACTATAGGGGGAAGGCACACCTGGCTCCACCTCCAAAATTGACCTTAGAAATTATTTATTTTTTACAAACTCATGTTATACCAACCAGACGTGAATAGTCAGATATATAGGTAGATATTGAACTAAAGAGATAACAATCAGGCTCGCTGTGTTAAGCCACGGCAGCTGTTTCTACACCTACACTCACTTCCATCCACCTGTTGTCCTTCCACTGAACTTTTTCTCACCCCTGTCACTTGGGATTTATGTATGCAGGAAGTAGGTAGTTGGCCGCTACCAAACAGGGAGGTACTACCGCCTGGGAAGATATTGGAAGCATAATGTGTTGTCTAATGGTAGACCCTGCTGCCATAGGCATCACGAATATTGTGACCAATTCCCAGGTTGCTCATCTGACTTTCTGTCGCATTTACACACAATTGCAGGGTTCCAATTGTTTCTCTTACTTTGACAACACAACATACATATATATTGTTTCTTACTCTTTATTTATTTATTTTTTTTAATTTTCGTATTTATTATTATTATTATTATTATTATTATTATTATTATTATTATTATTATTATTATTATTATTATATATTATTATTATTATTATTAATATTATTATTATATATTCTCCTCAGGGCCCTGATGTGGGTCAGTAACCCAGCCCGGATGGCCAATGTGAAAAAATATATATATATATATATATATATATATATATATATATATATATATATATATATATATATATATATATATATATATATATAATTGCTTTAAATGTTGTTGAAATAGTGAAATTACTAACGTTGTAACTCGCTTAAAGAGAAGAAACAAAAGAGAAGAGAAAATGCGTGAAAGTAACGACCATTAAGGATGAAGTAAAACATTATTTATTGTAGTCCATTTTATTGCAGTAAATGAATCCATAACATTTTGACTTATAAAACACTACTATAGACATTGCCATTTTTAAAGGCCGATAATCAGCAGCTACCTGGCAGCGGGTTGAGGGAGACCTGAGGGTGGCGTCACGAGGCATGAATACTCACACCTCGTCTGTGTACCAGGAAACATTAAGTCACTGTTAGTTAAAACTGCGTGATTTTGTGTGGTGAAGGTTGGTAGTGGGAGTAGGCCTCGTAGGGGCTCTCTTTGTGCCCCAGGTGCACAGTGGGGTCGGGAGTGTAGGCGTGGGAGGGAGCGTGCATCATCTCCGGCAGGTGACCGATGGAGTCGTACAGGGCGAGAGAAGAGACCCGCGCCAGGTCGTGAGTGGACTGTGGGCGTGACAGTGGCCTCATTGGGGCCATGCAGATGGAGTCTCGTGCCGCTGCTCGCACCATCAGGTACGTCTTGGGTACAAAAATAGTCAACAAGATGACGGTAGGAGTAGCAGCCAGACCCAGACACACACAGGCCTCACTCCATTCGGGCGGTAAGAGCAAGTACAGTGTGGCCCACGCAACCCACACACTGGTGATCAGTAATGTGGCTATGAAGAAGAGCAAACCTTCGTGGTAGTTACGGCGGGAACGAATGATGAATGGAGATATGAAGAGCTGCATGGTGAGCAGGAACATGATGTAGGACTGAGCAATGATGAAGTGCAGACGCTCGCCAGAACAACTGTATAACACTCCTCCTGTAGGTGGCGTCTGGGAGAAGGAGTGTGGGGAGCACATCACCCACTGCTGCACCCCGAGGCCTGCCTGCACACTTATCATGAAGAAAAACAACGCCGTCTGGACGAGGCCGCTCACGTGACCAACCAGGCTGTCGGAGGAAAAAAGGCAACATAACATTCCTTCTATAGTTTTCCCATGACAGGCAAACGGTATCAATAACTCACCCAAAACATCTAGACGAACAGAAAACTCTAACGTAAGTAAACCTCCCGACAGACGCATGACCCCAACAACTCACCCGTCTGTGTCAGACGTAGCCAACATGAGTGACCGGGACAACATAATGGAGAAGACAAGAGCGTAGGCTAGACTGGTGGCGAAGGGACGCAGGCTGCAGGTCAGAGCGCTCGCTTCGAAGCTGTATGGCAGGATGGCTACATACAGCAAGATGCAGGCCATCAACAGCAAAAGAGAGAATCCTTGAGAACCCTCCGGTGCTTTTCCTCGGCAGGAACGGATCTGCTAAGATGAAAAATAGTTGGTAGAGTGAAACAACACAGTCCACGTAGATAGTGAAGAAAATATCACGATTTGTTACAATTACGTGATTTATAGTTTTAATATTTGTCCTTAAAATACTTAAGAGGCGACTTACTCTCAACCATATAACGTGATTTAAATTCCAAACAACAAGGTAGCATCTCCCTCTATATCTTACCCATATTGTTTACTAACACCACCAAGTGACAAAACTGTGCTACCTACCGCGATGAAGATGGCTATGGAGGTGGCCAGGAGGAAGCCAATGATGGCCATGGTGGCGCAGATGGTTACCCAGGACTCAGTACGCCACCTGAGATCGGCCAGGAAGGCGAAGCGCACGTTGAGACAGCGGCAAGAGAGGCAAGGGTGTTGAGGGGGTCGCTCCGGGCCCTCCAACACACTGTTGTCGAGGTCCAGCACACCCTCAGAAAAGTACCCGACCTGTGTGTGGCGGAGAGGGGCGGTGCTGGGTTAGGTGTGAGCTGGTCGTAAGGGCTAAATAGGGCTAATTATGGGGATTTGGGGGCTGATTATAAGGACTGGGGGATAAAGATATTATGGGGGTCATAGAGGACTGATTGTAGGGTCTCTGGGTGATTCATTTGTTGGGGCTGTAAAGGTAGTGGTTGTAGCACAATGAAATAAATTCCTATACTTATGTACACGTGTGTGTGTGTGTGTGTGTGTGTGTGTGTGTGTGTGTGCGAGTGCGAGGTGTCAATACTTTCGAGTTAGCCCGACTGCAAACCGAGGCAGACAAGCGCCAACGCCGGAAAAACGCTGCCACCGCCCCTCCCGCAGTAGATGGAGCCCTTCACATGTGCAACGAATGTGAACGACACTGCGGGTCCCGTATTGGCCTCTTTAGTCACCTCAAAACTCACCAACCAAGGTGACATCCCGAATAACTCATAACATTGCATCATAGCTGGATGATCGTCATACTCTATTCCGAGTGACAGCAAAGTAGTAGTAGTAGTAGTAGTGTGTCAGTGCATAGTATGAGAGAAAAATAGTACTGAAAGTAGTAGTAGTCATAGTAGCAATAGTAGCAGTAATGATAAAAGTAGAAACGGGGAGATTAGTAGAGAAATTAATAATAATAGTTGTAATCATAGTAGACCACGTTACAATAATTATTTTGTTTCAGAAAAGTCATCTAACATCAGCACCACCAGTCATCACAAACCTTGGTAAGTGTCAGCCTGTCAGCGCCGTCAGTAGGGGTCAGACGCAGCACCTGGTAGCGCGGCCTCTGTGCCTTGATGGATAGAGCCTCTATCACGTCGAGGCCGTCGTCGGCTGTGTGGTGGTCCGTGAACTGTACTGAGCTCGCATTGCTGCACCATCCTCCCTCCTCTCCACACGCCCCCAGCACCGCCCGACGAACACACGTACCCATCTGGAACACCGCCTCCACTATCTGCAGGAGACGAGAGGGAATACTGTATAGATAAGTGTCTGTTTATGGTTATATAACTGTATATAACTGTATGTTAATTATACAAAGGTACAGTACCTAATAGTTTATGTTAATGTTAAGTATACCAAGAACATCGCCTGACTCTCTCTCTCTATATGGCATGTTAATTTATACACCCCCATCTGAGTGACAAGAACACAGTAGAATATCAGATGAAAAACAAGAAAATTTTAACAAACGTCAAACATCAGTCAACAGCTGTATGCGGAAGCCTTACTATATTTCACTCTTCTGTGCTGAATACTTTTGTGCCTAATCCTTCAAACAAGCTTTGTTATGTATAGACAGATGAACATATACAATTTGTTCCGTCTCTTGCTTATGAAGTGGAGCATAAAAATTATTATTTGTCTTTAGTGTTACTAGTTAAACCGTATCGCCATTAATGTGTTATGAAAGATTTGATTGCTTCATAAGTTTCCAGACCAAAGGATGGAGACAGTTCCTCTATCAGTGTGTAATGATTATAATGACTTCAGGTACACGTGGGTGGCGGGGAAGTTCTGTGTGTTGGTCACCCGGGATCACACACACACACTACCTGGGGGGGGACTCATTACGTCCTCGTCAACACTTACTTCTCCTTTCCATCTTTTCTCTCTGCCTGTCTCTTATTCTTCAGTGCTTATTACTTCCTTCTGTGATCTTTCTTCCTATGGCATCTCGTACGTGGACTACAAATGACCAACACATTATACTCAAACCACCGAGTCGAATCCTTTCAAAATCATGTGAATCTGGCAGTTGTCTCGGAGGTCAGTGAGGACAACCTAGTCGGAACCTTGAATCTTGGAGGGGTTTTTTTTTTTTTTAGCTCACTTCTTTGCTGTCAGTCAGACTGTCAACACCTCTCATCAGTAATGCTGGTATAAAGAGAAGAAGTGCTGAGGAAGGTTTCTATTAGGTTAGGTTAGGTTGTGTCCAAATCGTTCATTCCAGGATTTTTTTTTCTTCAAGCCTTTCAGTTTCCTTCTCCTTATCTTGTGTAGCCAATAACCCTGACTCGGAACTCAACGCCATTACGATGATTACTGCCTCTCTCATCGACTTGAATTATCAGTCAGAAGAGCTTTTCAAATTCAAGATTACAAATTTCGAAGGAGATCTTGAATAGAATTAATTCACCTAAAAGTACGTCCCTAATTTTGATTACGTTTCCATTACTTTATTACCTGGTTTAGTCGTGAACAATTAAGAGGGCAAGAATCCATCCTTTATAATAGGTATCTAAGCCATATACCACTTTCCTCAGAATGGCTTTGGTGGCGCAGGTCCCTAACATCTCTCGTCACTTACACTGCCACCTCCCCCTCACCTGGTACACGGCGGGTTCCTCTACGTAGTTGTCTGGGGTGAAGTCCGGGTACAGAGTAGTGTCTGAGGAGGCCACAGTCAGGAAGTGCTCACCAAACTCTGGCACGGTCTGGCTCGCTCTCCTCAACGCCAGGAGCCCAGATGCTACTGAGTTGAGCCCTGGTGGATATAAACATCGTCAGGAGGAGGAGGAGGAGGAGGAAGAATAAGACGTATAGAAGAACAGATAAAGAGTAAAAACGAGAAAGAATATTATAGACATATCCCCACCACTTGTAAAACCAGCATAGTATCTTCAGAAAAAATCGTGCAGTCTAAACATTCAGTGGACACAATTCCACCTGTTTGCTTCTCTCACTCACCCTGGAAGAGCTCCTCCTGGATGGGTCCGGTGGGAGCGAGAACCCAGTGGAAGTCGGTGTAGTTGTGGGCGGCAGCGGCAGTGAGGGTAGCATGAAGGCGATCCTGAGGTCCAATGAGCACCACTCCTCCAGTCTCGCCCGTCTTCAGCACCTCCAGTAGTGAGTGGTACGCCTTCTGGTCACTGCCAACCCGACACCACACAAACAGATCGGTAAGTGATTGAATGTATGTGGTGACTTTTTGGTTAAGTAGTCCTTCAACATCATCAAACTAAAACTCTAGGTATCTGTAATTACTCCTGATATCAGGAAAAAAGACATTGTAAGCAAGTATAATAAACCCAACAGGTACTGAGTGTGTGGTGTTACCTGGTGGTGTGAGGTAGGATGGCTTCAGCTCCCACACAGACACGGAAGCTAGCAGCCAGGTGACCGAACTGTTGCAGCACCTGTAAAGCAGAAGGTTGGGTACGGCTCGAAGTTGTCTCGTCTCACTTCACCTACACAGGACGATCACTGCGTCAAGATCATCACCAACATCAACGTAGGCCTTCATATACTAGCATTATCAACCTGTTTCTCACCTGTGACTTATAGCACCTCCCAGGACGTCTGTTGGTGTATAATTACAGGTATTTACTGTCTAAATTGATCTTTAGTTGCCACTGATTTGGATTCGTAGGAAATTGAGATCATCACGAAAACTATCTTACACCTGTGAGCACCTGTAATTAATACTGACCTATAACTGTGAGCACCTGTAATTAATACTGACCTATAACTGTGAGCACCCGTAATTAATACTGACCTGTGACCTATTACCACAGTATCCATGAGGAGACACATGATCCTTACTGACCTGGAAGGAAGGAGCGGCGACGACCACGGAAGTCCAGTTTAGTCTGACCAGGAGTGGCATGAGAGCCTCTAGCTGGGGCTCCAAGTTCTCGGCCCCCACGCTGACGGAGGAAACACCCACATCCTGCAGAAGTGATGACACCCTCTTACTCCCACACATCCATCACTCTCTCAGGTACACATTAAGCCCCACTAACCTGACTAAGGAACTAAATGAATCGTCAGAGTAAATTCACAAAGAAATAGAGACGACCAAAGGCACAGGTGGTAGAGGGGGCAATTTTGCTTTAAAGACTAATTAAAGGGTGATGTGTGTGTGTGTGTGTGTGTGTGTGTGTGTTCAGACTCGAGTATCTCACCTGGAGGAAGGAGGAGAGCTGCGTGTGGTGAGGGTGTGTATGCAGGACACCCACGTGAGGCGCCTCCCGGCAGCTTGGGTGGTTGAGGTAGCCGCCCTCCACCACTGAGGTCACAGCCGCCCTCAGCGCTGCCTCCGGGCCTCCACATGTGTCGTAAATATTCACTCCTGTAGGAAGGTGTTAGCTGACTAATGCATCTTGTTAAGTAGTCATGATGTTTTTTATACCTGTGTGGCTGTGCTGAAAATTATTGTGGTATAATACACCTCTGCACAGTGTCCCGGTGGCCTGGGTACACCTTGACTTTCTATCTCGATATCACAATGCCTAAAGCAATATTTTCTCAAGATTCCCTGAACCTTTTCACCAACATAAAGTTTGTTTCTGGAATATTTATAACTTTAGCTAGAGACTCGGAAACAGATACGAGCAAAACAGTCATATTATCACTAATTTACACAACAAGAGGGAGTGTGTACTGACCGAGTGTGACGCCGGGAATGAAGGCCGTCTGGGCCATCTTGAGAGCTGTCCAGCGAGCAGCCTCCATCACCTGCACGCCAGCGGGGTTCACCAAGCCACACCGCCCACCCCCGTGCACGCCCACCAGACCTGTGTGCACATCCACCACACTATATGATGATTGACTACGTTACAAAAGACAGTTCTTACAGTATATTTAGGGCAGGATGAGCCAGGTAACAGCATACTGCTATTAGTCTTTGCAGTAGTGGTATAACCAGTCACAGGCATACAGAGCCAGGACTATAAAATTGGTTAATGAATTCGTATGACATTTTCGGGGATGACGACCACTAGCAGCTGAAGTGAGGAGTCTGACTCACCTGAACCATATTTGGATTCTTTAAAGATATGTTTCTAATTGCTCTGTAGTAAAGGGAGTTAGGCAGGTGATATATTTCAAAGTTTGGATTCCTTGAAGTAGTTTAATGAATTGTATCTGATATTGTCAAGAATGAAGACTACTGAAGCCCTAACTAAGGAAAGTGATTCATTATTAGTGTTTGTTATTATTCCCATCTATTGTTTAACTTTCCTCCCGCCAGACAGAAGACAAGAGTAAGTCATCAGCTCTCACCTGTGATGTACACGTCACTGGGGACGGAGGGATAAGTGCGCTGCTCAGGACAGGGTGTCTCCACAGAACCACCCCAGAAGGCAGCCGCTCCCCAAGGCATTACTACCACCAGCACCGCCACCACCACCACCAGGCGGCTACTCGGCCCCAGTCTCTCCTGCAGGTAAACACAATTGTCTTATTTTGAGGAATGTTTATTGACCTGGAAGTATCTCAACGCGGAAGAAAAACAGAGAGTAAGAGAAGGGAAAAGAGACGAGAGTTATGTTAAGGAAGGTAAATACGTAAGATATACAAAAACTGTTTACAGAGAGCTTAGTTACACTCATACTAGACATGGTCTTATTGTCTTAGTTTAAGTTTTCCGCTTTTTCGTTTCTTTTCGCGCCTTTTTTTGTAGTCTTTACGTCGAATATTTAAACGTTTTACCCTCAAACAGCTCATAAGCCAAGGTCTTCCTTTAGCATTCAACTGCTCACAAGTGTTTACCTTATTTAGTTGTACAGATAAAGGAACGACTTGCTTAAATAAAAATGAAAAAATTTATGCTCTTCCCCAAAAAGTACTTTAATATTGGTTACTTTAATTTACGAATAACTGTGTAAGGAAGACGGAACAGGTGGAGCTAATACTGACGTGATGCAGTTTACAGGTTCATGAGATTTTACAGAAAGGGAATTATGTAAAAGATTATTTATGTCATTTTGTATTTACTTTTTGACAGGAAAACTTACGACGAAAGAACACACACACACACACACACACACACATAAACCAGTTCATTAGGCAATAAATTATTTTTTACCTGTCTGTACTAAGCTGGCGTCCACACCATCATCTGACTGCTGCCTCTACCTGAGCTTAAGGTTTACTTGTTTGAGAACATATCCAACTCCTCCTGAAAGAGTCATAGCAGGAAGCAGGTGGTTCAAAGTTAGCGCCAGGCTTATTTTTGAACCTGTTATGTAGTGTTTGTATGTAAAGACGTTTGTACATTATGTGATCTTCTCAGCTCTATACACCTGAATATTTGTAGAGTTCTGAGTCGGCATCACACTAGTTGTTAAGACTATGACACTTTAATGTCTTCCTTATACACACAAAGTTTCCAAAAACAGTATTGTGGCAAGTGTGAATTGTGTGGCTTTGAATTCCACAGAAGCAGTAGTATTGTTTGTACATTTCTCTCTCCTACTGACGTGTTTGTGTGTGTTAGGTGGTAGGTGCAGTAGCGAGCTCTCAAGTCTCAACTCACTCTCTGAGAAGTTGTCCAAACAGTCAACTTGGTTTACCTCCTTTGATGGTGTATGAGATCCTTAGTTTGACCTGTGATGTGTAACTTCCTCTTAGTTCCTCTTCAACTAAAGCAGTTCGTCTTCTGCCAATACCCGACTAGACTAACTTACATGAGTATCAATGAACCCGATTTAGAGATTTTTGTTTACACACGCACACACACATTCACACACATCAGTTGATAGGTCCTTCACACTCAGGATAAAATTTTATTACGGTATAAAGTAGAAGCCAGTTATTACCTTCATGGCGACGGAGGCGGAGACCGGGTCTGGGGACGAATATCAATCTTGTCGGGATCACTTTTCTACGGGTCGTTTATTCACTTCGTTAACCACCACCACCACCTGTACCACACACTACACGATAACCTATTAACCACACTGAGTCCCTATCCAAAAGCAGCTCCTCAACATGAACACTTAACACGATAAAGAACTTAATATATCCAAAACACATTCGAGTTGGTCGTAATTTTTACCCAACACTTTTAAGTCGTTACTGATGATTTTGCTCATAATTTCACTGTGGTATAATAGTTCAGATAAATAATACCACTCTGCAATGAGGTTTGGGTGTTGGAGAAATGCTCAGGGGCAGTGCTGGTCACGTCTAGGTTAGGTTAGTGTGTGTGTGCGGGTGGAGGGAGAGACGGCCACAGGTCTACCTAACACGCTAAGTTGTAAGGTATCCCCCCACTACCCGCCCGCCCGCCTTACTTGGCTTCATCCCTAGCTCCAAATTTCATATACACTGTCCATAATGCGTTTATATTAACCTAACCTGGCAAAGTGACTTATACAAAAACAGACAGCTTGACACAGGTAGACGGTCAGTATTGTTGTCTTCAAGAGAAACTGTCTGGAATGAACTTAAGTACAGTATATAAAATAACAACATATGCTGAACAATATAATCCAATTATTATGTGTTCTAATCATATCAGTTATGTTACAGTGAAATGTTAGCCTAAGCAGATTAAGGGATTGCATTACTCTACTGTACCATATTACAATCCGTGTGGCATTAAGAAAATTATCATTCACACTTACGAGAACATTTGTCTACACATTACAATAAATTATTAGGTTACCGAAAGACTAATAAAAAGACGTTGTATATATGAATAATTTTGAGGGATGAAAATCAGCGCCTCTAGTGGTGAAGGGCGCAAACTACCACAGACCACAGTAAACACTCACCAACAATTCACTTTACCAGCTAACATTTGCTGTGTTGCGATGCTGAACAAGAACACAGTAGGTACAGGAGGTTTGTTGATACAGGACAAACTTAATGCCTTGTACTGAGAGATAGTATATTTATTTGACATATATTTACCAAGAAAACAATAGGGGATTTTTATGACCTGCCAGCAGTACCTACACGTGTTATTGATTGGTACCCCTGTTTATCATGCATGGCCTTCCCATGTAACCCAAGTTTGTTTATTTCTCTGTTGTATCATGAAGACATTCCCTAATGCAAGACCCTTTCCAATGAGGTGTATTTGACGTGTGTATGTCGAGTCGTATATTAGGGATCATACATACTGATAACACAGCTTTCTGTGTGTATATTTGTGTTATGTACTAAGTATGTTATCTGGCGAACTCTAGGTTAAATATGCTTCGGGTTCATGAGTCTGAATCTCGGGGTTTGTGGAACAGCAGGAAAGGGAATTTTGGCCACGTCTGTATATTGGTTAAACATGGGTGTTTCATACGACCGCTAGATCGTATTCCATTCAACAGTTTCATTAATTATAATAAATCAAGAATTTAACTATGAAACACATCGATGGAGAATAAGATAATTGCTACTGCCACAAACTCTGTAAAATACATCTCCTGGGTGTCTATAACTAGGAATTTAATTATATATATATATATATATATATATATATATATATATATATATATATATATATATATATATATATATATATATATATATATATATATATATATATATATATATATATATATATATATATGTACAGGATAAGACTGCTAGAATTTGTTGTTGATATTATGCCATCATGATTTTAAGGTGTAATCGTCGTATTAAGAGCAAACTTACCACGATAAGTTAGTGGAGAGAACTGATATGGATTAACCTCTGTAAGTAATAAAGAGTGCAGAGGTCTTATTGCAACTATATCTTGCGCTAGTCAGGCCGCACCTCGATTATGCGGTTCAGTTTTGGTGCCCTTATTATAGAATGGATATAAATTCACTAGAGTCGATGCAGCGAAGAATGACGAAAATGATTCCGGGACTTAGAAACCTTCCATATCAGGATAGGTTAAAGAAACTAAACTTGTATTCCCTAGAAAGACGAAGAGTGCGGGGAGATATGATGGAAGTATTCAAGTGGGTGAAAGGAATCAATAAAGGTGATATAGATAAAGTTCTTATAATATCCGAGCAGGATAGGACTCGGAACAACGGATTCAAGTGGGATAAGTTTAGGTTTAGGAGGGAGATAGGAAGGAACTGGTTTACAAATAGGGTGGTGGACGAGTGGAACAAGCTTAGCAACTTTGTAGTAAGTGCTGGAACGCTGGAAAGTTTCAAAGGGAGGCTGGATAGATTCATGGATGATAGAGAGTGGTAGTAACTCTCGACAGGAGCTGCCATGCACAGACCAACCGGCCTATTGTAGACTCCTTATTTTCTTATGTTCTTATGTTCTTAATTACACAAACCACCTGAACACCCGATCCTATCCTAACAGATAAATATGGTGTTCACTATTCTCTTATGTTCCTGGACGATCCCTAATGCCATCAACAATCATAAATACTCCTAAAATAATTTCTTCACAATCAATTTTTACGTCAGGTCAACAAATGAATCAGGTCGACAAACTGCCATAGTCTTTTCCATATTACAGTAAAATACGTTATATAAACACACACAGTTGCCAATGGTTGTGATAATATTAATATCCTTAGGTCGTCAAAAATATATATTTATGACCTGTTAAATTATGACTTTCTAAACATGTCCAATTTGTGCCAATAATTTTCCTCTAATTTATTAAATATTTATTACTTCAAAGATATATGACACCGGATAGATTTTTTTCATCCATCTATTTATATTTATTTTTTTAATATTCTTTCTTTATATACTACAGCGAAACACAAACTTGTGGTGATAAAATAAGTAAAAGGTTGAAGAATTTAGCAAGACAACGAGAGTTCCCTGAGTGTTGACCAGTCACCAGCCAGTGCCGGGCAGACGACACCATTTACTGCCTCCCACCATGAACTGATTCCCACGACAACTTTATAAAATATTGCTAGAATAATGGCGCTACAAACAATAAGATCAAACCTGTGATTAATGGCGCTACAAACATCTAAGATAAAACCTGTGGTGTGGAAAGGTGAGAAAGTGTTAAGTGTTATGCCAAGATCAACAGCTGTGATGTAAACAAACTTTTCTCAGACGTATTGAAGAATTATTGGTAAAACTATCGATAATACTGATCACTGCTTCAGTGTGTTGCGTCATAATATTTAATGAATGTTTGTGTGACTTAAGTGATTATTAGTGGTCTTGGTTAAGTGAAAATTCGTGACCTCAATCAAGTGAAGGTAATACTGGAGCAGATGGCTAACACCAGAAGGTCATGCTCGATTTCGTTCATTCTTTCCACAGATGTTCTTTCGATGATCGTAAGTAATAAAAACTATATGACAATGCACAGAACCTAATAAAACCTGACCTAACCAGTCAAAAATATCTACCTAACTTCATAGCTATGGGACCCCGCCCCTGGACCTTCGCCTTAGTAAACAGAAAGTTCATACTTTAATATCTGTTAGCAATGAAAGCAAATTTCTTGAAGCATCATGGTGTAATTTTACTTTTTTTTTTTTGGACATGAGAGTCTGTTCGGACCGAGTAGGTCGGTTGTTGCACAGAAATAAAGAGCAGACAACAACACGCGTGGAGAAGGCAGATTTTTCGGAGGAATATTTATGGTAAATAATTTATTTCTTCTTGTAAAAAGCGTATAGAGACATCATTTTCATGTCATATGATTAGATCATCACCGTGTTTTAACCATCAATTTCCTTCACCCTTCATACCCTGCCCTCTACGGGTGAGTTATGATTACAGGTAGAGAAAATCTAAAAGGAAAATACTAATATTTAAAATAAAAAGTTGCCATATCGTTTTTATTACTTGCTGTCATCCAAAAATAATCTGTGGAAAAATGAACGAAGTCGAACAACTTCTGGTGTAGACGCCTGTTCCAGAATTGCCAGTGAAAATTGGTGATCTCGGTTAAATTAAGTGAAAAATAATTAAATTATCTTTAAATGATACTTAGTGATCTCACTTAAGTGATAATTAGTGATCTCGGTTAAGTAAAAATTAATGATCTCTGTAAATGAAAATAAGTGATCTTGCTTAAATGCTTAAGTGAAAATGTTTGATCATACATAAGTGATAATTTGTGTTCTTGGTTAAATGAAAATTAGTGATATCGGTTAAGTGATAATCAGTGACCTCAAGATGACACCAGCAGCAAGACCACCAGTGAGTATTTTGACTCATTTTGGTAATATTCAAGATGTTGTTACAGCCTTAGCAGCTGCCTGACGAAATTTCTCTATAGAAGATAAAAGTTTTCTTACCTCAAGAAACAAACATAAAATGCAGGAGGAATACTTTATTGTGACATCAGTTTTGATTTATTTAATGTGCGGAGGAAGATGGCCGCCACTAATGTCAGGTTTACACTGTAGGAATGGTTCTTTTCTCAGAGTGGAATTCTAATCTATTTCGGTAGAATAAAATAGGAAATAATTGTAGTATTTTATGTGAGGTCTGGTAAGTTATGACATTACAGACTGTGAGACTATTTGGTATAAAGGTGGAGGAGAATGTTAGCTCCAGAAATCACTTATGGAATTGAACCAAAATTTCTGGAGTTAATATGTGTGTGATTCTCAACACGAAAATGGAAGAAAGAATGCACAGAACCTATTAGAACCTTACCTAACCTTACCTAATATACTTAATCTCACCTAACTTCACCCAATCTACCTAACCTCACCTAATCTACCTAACCTCAACCTATTTCCTAACATCGCCTAACTTCCTAACTTGTGCATTTTTTTTTTTTCGATTTTCTTATTGACTGTACTATCATCCAAACAACATCTCTAGAAAAAAATGATGTGTATTAAATAAGACTTTGTGGTAGAATGAGAAATCAAAGAATTTTGGACAATATGTATTCTCAGGTAATATTTTGGATTTTATATATCCGCAAGTTGAATAAATATCATAAAAAAAACATGTGTGTAAGAATGCAAGTTGGTGCTGCACATGAGGTAGAGTGTAGTGGTGGCTGATGTACAACTACCCGTCTGGCTGCCTATATTAAAAGATAAGGACGAGTTTTCCTGTCTTTTGTCTGTTCTGTGTTCAGCCTTAGCTCCAAAATGGAAGCAGTTAGATATCTGGAACTTTACTTGCTTATTACATGGGTCTCAAGGTTGTGCATCTTGGTATTACTATTGTCTATGGAGCCCCGGGTGGTCCATACAAAAGGCAAAAATGTTCCCCAACTGAAATGATTGTAGGATATGGTTACCCGCATCAGGGAGGCCAAACTGTGACTGTCAAGGTTTGGTTTGGTTAGGTTGAGGTGGTTTACCGGTGTCAGGAAGGTTAAGTTAGATTATGTTAGGTTAGGTAAGGTTATGCTTGGTTAGATTAGGTTGAGTTGGTTACCCATGTTAGGAAGGTTAAGTTAGGTTAGGTTGAGGTTGTTACCTGTGTAAGGGAGAGGAAATTATGATGGTCAAGGTGAATCAGTATATACAATACCTTCCCCTAGTCGAATATTTTTGCTTCTTATTTTGTAGGTCTATCATTTGCATTAATAGTTGCCTGTTAATTTATGTAAATATTTGATATAACAATACAAAGCTATGATCACTAAATACTTTCTCAATTCAATTAGTGTACTTGTAATGCTATAGAAAATCAAACTATATTTAAGCAGTGTGTTACATTTGTACATAAACTGTAGTGCTTAGCTAAGAAATAACAGTGTTGAATGGCACTATGTTTAATTAAAGCAAATTATCATTGATCTAACTTTGGGAGTAATGAACCATAATTGATAAAGTCATAATATCAGCGTTGATGGCAATGATCAGTGGTCCCTTCCTGCTAGAATCACTTTTTTTTCTAGAATGTCACCAGCACGTCGCCAGTGGTATAGGAGGAAAGGGAAAGAACATTGAGGGTTTGTTACATTAATTGGAGTCGTTGAAGGTTCCACTGAGATAAATCAAGGCTTGTAACACTGTTAGCTTTGATTTTATGTTAGGTTAGGTAACAATGCATAAGTTTAATTAAAAGTATAAGTAATACTTTCAATGAGGCTTATAAAGGTAGCTTAGTGGGGTTTTTCCTTGAAATGGAGGTAATATTCCATTTCTCATTTCATCAGCCGAATGTTTTTTTTTTTCGTAGACACAAATGTGAGGTTTTCTCGGTTTAGCACGAAAGAAAAAATAGTGTTCTTTTTGTAAGCTCAACACAGATGTATAATAATTACAGTATAATCCTCAGCTCAAAGAGGTAATCCTGTGACAGCCATGTACTAACTTTCTCAAAACAACACCTGTAGTTTTTATGATCAATACAAATAGTTAAAAATATATGCTTGAAAATTTTAGCCCCTCTTCAGGGTTTGCGCATCGATTAACAACGAACACAATACTGGTCCTGAGCACTGTCAGGGTTAAGTCTTAAAACACATTAGAATTTCTTACAACATAACGACGAGTTTTTTTTTGTATGACTTTTTGGAAGTTAGTACATATGAAGTAAGACTGACAATGTATTTTATTCAAGACATCCTATGCAGATCTTCATCAGTGTACCGAAGTCCACAGAATTTTGCCAGCTTCACCTCAGTCTACAGTATAACCTTATGTATGTTAAGCTGAGGTTTAGAGGAAAATCAAGTTATAACAAAATTATGTTCGGATGTGTATCATCAGTTTAATCTAGTCTCGAGCAGAACTTATTTAGGCTCTAGAAATTCTGAGGTTTTCAACTGGTCTCCCAAAGGTTCACATCAGTTCTGCAAGTCCTCGTTGGTTCTGTAGGTCCTCGTCACTTTCAGAAGTTCTTGTCGGTTCAACCAGTCCTCATTGGTTGATAAATTGCTTGACTTTTCATTAAGAGTTTCGAACTCAGTTGCTCCAGCGACTTGATGCCAACAATGGGTTTTCTTGTTGTTGTGGTTTTAAGTCATTCTCAAGCCAGTCCTATAAAATAAGAGTTGATATTTTCGTTCTTGTGCTTCTTCAATACTCATACATTTTTCTTCCATATAATTACAACATTATACTGTTACGAAGACTTGAAATATTTCTGTACTAGTCATGAACAAATCTTATAAGATATGTAGCCTCAACATAAAGACCGAGGTAATATGTTATCTTTACTCTTAAAACAATCCTTATAGGGGGTCCTTAGTTTTTTTTTTTTTTTTATAGGGATTAACCCACCCGGGCACAGGTCACTGACCTACATCAGGGCCTGGGGGGCGAAAATATGATGATAATAATAATAATAATTGAAAATTAAAATAAATAAAATATTGATAATAATAAAAATAACAACCATAAATAATACAAAAATATAAATTAAATCAAGAGTGTGTTATGGACAGTAAAAGAAACAACCGAGACCCTACAATTGTGTGTAAATGAGGCAGAAAATCAGATCAGCAACCTGGAACTTGGTCACAATTTTCGTGATGCCTATGGCAGCAGGGTCTACCATTAGACAACACATTATGCTTCCAATATCTTCCCAGGCGGTAGTACTTCCCTGTTTGATAGCTGCCGACTACCTAGTTGGCATGATCCCTGGAATAATACTTTCTTGGACCTTATATGCCGTATGTGTTTTAATAAAAAGTCATATATATATGTCAAGCATTAGATGGTATTGATTTCATGTAGTTATTTTGTTTTAAGTACAAGATGAAGACAGTAGTTCCCGGTTGTTTTGTGTAGTGGAGGTGGGAGGCACATGCCGGAACTCAAGGGGAGGGAGGTGCATGTTGATTCTTGTAGCTTGTGAGGCTTCCTCTTAAGTCCCAGATCCCGGCCGTCCACAACCGGTGAGTCAACTTAGCCTGGCAGCAGGTGAGACAGCCGAATCTGACAGCCGGTGGGTCAGCTTAGCCTGAGAGTTGGTGGATCAGTTTTGACTGGCAGCATGTGAGTCAGCTGAGCCTGACAGCTGGCGGGTCAGCTTAGCCTGACAGCCGGTGAGTCAGCTGAGCCCGACAGCCGGTGGGTCAGTTGATCCTGACAGTGGATGGGTCCACCATGTCAAGTTTTCTCTATTACGGTGCGTCAGTCACACCTCCTTTATTAGCCATACGATGTACTGCCATTTCCTTGTCCTAGTAAGAAGCACTACCGTCACAAGCATAAAGCTGAGGAGTTGAACCACTTATTGATATGTCTGGCTTCCTCAGGCACTCCCATCCTCTATGACTTCGTTAGTAAGACGTATCTCCCGTATGAACTTAAACTAATAGGATTTAAGCAGTTTCTCTCATTGCGGTCTAGGTAACTAAACAAGAATTCCATACTGACGGCTTTGGTTTGGACGCGGAAAATATTAAACTTCAACACCAAGAGGAATTAATGGTGTATGTCGTTGAAGTGATACTCGTACACCTGAAGGGAGGCGATAATGGGTAGAGGTGTTCTTACTGCTGATGATGTACAGGACGTAAGTATGCGTCAAATACCAGAAAGAGAGAGAGCCTTGTTGTGGGCCACTCCTTAAGATTGCCACTTGCCTGTATCGTAGGGCTTCAGCAGACGTGCCAACCTCCGCGACACTCTCCTCACAATGAGTCTGTTCAAGAAGAAACCAAAGAACTAGTTGAGGGCCTGCACAGGCACGGAGACGGGGCAATTGCTCGTTATTTCTGTGTGTTGAAGGATTACCCGCGATCTTAACACACCTATCGTCATTCAATAGTAAGTTGTGATTAACAGATTAGTTTTCATGTTAACATTGGCTGTGTAATTGAATTTACAGAGGTGTGGGTTTCAGTGTTCGTTTTTTTTTCATGATTTCAGTTTTCTACTACTTACATTAACGTTATATAAATGACGTTTTATTCAACTCAACTTATTAACGTCAGTAATAAAGTAACTGTTAGAATAAATATGTAAATGAGAGTAAACAGCGGCGCTTGGTGATGACCGAGACAGAACGACACATATCGACCCATTAACATACACTTCACCCTAAACACACTCACTCTAGTGACCATTAATTATCATATGTATGTAACTCACAAACTGACGATCCAACAGATATATTTCTTTGCTCCTCGGTACTACAGTTACTTCCGTATATGTGGTAAATATAGTCATTCATTCATCAACGCTGGTGGATGATACAGTGAAATACTCGTGTGTAAACCTGTAGTGTATATTGTATACTTGCTTTGTCTATATACATGCTAAACCAATGTAAACTTATCTACATCTTGATATAGCAAATGTTATCCCAGTTACCGGGAACATGTAGTCCACAGTACATACCTGAGTATAGCTGTAGACGCAGGGGTTAAGTCAGAGGATGTTGCAACCTCCGCCTCTGCTTAAACTCCCCTCCCACCTTGTCCCTCCTACCCTACCCTATCTGTCATAACCTTATCCACCCCCTACCCCACCCAATATCCCCCACCTACCCACCCACCTTCCCCCACCCACCCCTTACCCACATACCCACCCACCATACCCCACCCCCTACCCACCCCACCACACCCCAGCCAGACACAAATATGCGTGCCTTGTTGACCGGGGTGTCAGGGTCAAACTGTTGTGGATCCCCTCTCACATAGGCCTCATAAAACATGACAGAGTTGATGCCTCGCCAAACTCGCGTCTAACAAAGACACCGTTGAATACAATTTGGGTCTGTCAAAAGAACCCTTAAAACTGTAATTAGGAAAGAACTTATTGATGAGTTTGACGCAAGTAGACAAGTGCAAACAGGCACTAGTCGATCCATAGTTTACCATGATGAGATGTATCAAGTGAAACATGTATATGGAGCAAGTAACAAGATCACTAGATTACAAGATGTTGTAACCGCTAGATTAAGGTTAGGATATAAGTACCTTTGGCAGTATGTTCCTCAAGCAGATGTAAACAAAACTAAATGTAAAGTGTGTGGCCATACATATGGCCACACTTGAACACTACGTCCTCGACCTGTGTGAAGATAGAACCTTTTAGGGACAGGTCCAAGCACACTGTGTGTGAAATGGCACAACACTTCATCTCTAATGGCAAGATAGCCGACATATTAAGATTGTATCCACTTTTTTGCACTTAGTAACTATATCAATTCTCATGTACAGAACCAAATACGCAATGTGCTTGAATACCTCCCACGTAAATGTGAATAACAAAGTGTGAGGCCAGACATACTGCCTCACACGCCTGTTCTCACGCATTTGTGAATAAGTTACCCTTTATGTATAGAACTAAACAAATAATGTAAATGAAATACTGTGTAACTTTCAGTGCCATAATATCCTGACAACCGGGGTTAATTATTATGACCCTTTGTAAACCCTACTCTGTAATCCTTTTGCGCTACCGCTCACAGGATGAGTGTGGGGTGCACAATAAAGTAGCCGCTGCAAGCGGCAAAATAAAAAATCAAAATCAACCCCAGCATTATGTCAGAATTATGTCAGCATTGTGTCATCATTTTTATTTAGCATTGTGCCAGCATTTTGTTAGCATTGTGTCATCATTGCGTCAGCATTGTATCAAAAGTGTGTCAGCATTGTGTTAGCAAGTGCTTAGTATTGTGTCATCATTGGGTGAATATTGTATCAGCATTTTATTTAGCATTGTATCGGCATTGTCAGATTTGTGTCAGCATTGTGATTGTGTCATCATTGTATCAGCATTGTGTCAGACAGTGTATATACATCATACACACAGTGGTTAAAACATAAAGGTCCAGTAATCAAGTCTCTCTCAAGGTGTTCGAAATCAGTGTGTCTTAATTTTGTTGCAAGATCAATAATAAAAAAAAACAATATTGACCGTACGCCGTGAAATGTTACCCATCCTATCAACAGTGAGTAAAGGCTAAGGGGATACTACTGTTGAGGTGAGTGAGGTGATGTGTGTGTGTTTACTCTTGTGTTTTTTTGTGTGTATGTGTTTGCTGTTTGTGTATACTTGATGATGTCACTTTCACATGTCTGTAGTTCATGTGTGCAGAAACGTACGAGCAATTTTGACAATGGTACAATTTAACAGTCAGGGAATAACATGTTTTTGCTAGACACAGGATAATTATGAATCCTTTCAAAAAAATTCATCACAGCACAATTTCAGGATTTTTTTTATACATACATTAAAGTTTATTACAATTATGGTTTACATGTAATTTATCAATGAGGATTAAGAAACTGCATTAATATAACTGATTAAACACAGTAACTAAGGTGAATCTCATACTGTAGAGGAAATGAGGCAGACTGCATCTACGTGGGCGTGGGTGTGCGTGGTGTTGGTACTGTGTGGGCGGTGGGCGGCGGGTGGGTGTGTGGCTGAGGGCGACACCACCGTCCACAGGTCACAGGGAGACGCTGTCATCACCCAGCTGTTGCCCCTCCACCACGGACCACAGTGTGACCAGGTCAGTATCACAACTACCACCTGCCTTGTTAACCTCGTCAGGAGTTCTATTGTGGTATATTTTTAACATCGATCTTACCTCCTTAACCCCAGGGCGATAATCAGTGACCTGCGTAGTGCCTCTCTACACTGTCTTCATCAATCAATTAAAGTAACTATCGACTCTTGTGCGATGGTTCATGAACAATGGCTCCTTTACCCATCAATATAGTCACCATACTGGATCTAACGAGGGTCCCCGAACCAGCTACAGTTAGGACAGAGGGCGAGTGTTGTGTACAAGTGACGCCCTGAAACTGGAGAGTAAGGAAATGGTTTGTCTACGTGTGTATCTGAGGTACGAAGGACTCCATAGCGTAAGTCCTGTTGCTAACGACACTTTCTTTGGCATTTTGGCTGTAAGAATGTAAGTAGAATCTTGATGATAATAAAACTGACTTTAAACAATCATGAAAAATTTCCCTTCACAGGCAACCCTCGTGGGATGCCGGATAAAATAGCACAAGCTTCCTTAATCGAAATGTATTGAAAATTTATAATAAAAGGACTAATATGTTCGTCTCAATTGTGTAAAACTAGTTATTATACAATGTAATTATAATCTGATAAAGTGGTTTCCTGCAGCTGGGGCTGACGGAGGTGCAAGTGTTGGAGGCGACCAAGATGGCCGTCCAAAGAGTCAACAAACTGGGCCTCATCCCCGGCGTTACGCTAGGTGAGCATCTCTCTCTGTCTCTCTCCCTCTCCCTCTCTTACACATGTATTATGAAAGGCTATCACTTAAGGTGAAGATGTAGCCTGTAATGTGTCTCGGGAAATGGAATCAGCATCTTTGCGCATCATCAGTGGATTAAGATCAGCTTAGGTTAATATTGTATCAGATTAGGATTGGATTAGGTCAGAATTACGTCAAGTTTATATTACATCGGATTAGGATTGAATTAAGTTAGAATATAACAAGGTTAGGATTAGGGCCCATTTGATGAGTGACCAAAGTAAAACACAGGTAAATGGCCCACAGGTTTACGGGTGGTGGACACTTGTTCCAACCCTCACCTCACCCTCACCAAGGCTCTCTCTGCCTGGGCCGATGACGCCTACCACTGTCCCGAGCCTGCCTTCACCCTCGGCTACCTCGGTGAGTTATTGTGGAGTAGTGAGTATTGAGGGAATCGGTTATCATACTTCACATATGACCTTATTAACCGCTGAGTTAAATAAGAACTACTACAGAGAATATAATAAGGGAAAGTGGTTTGTGATAATTCAGGAACAAGGACAAGTACTATAGCAAGAGGCTGTACTTCCACTCGAAACTAATACATATACAAACCTAATCAAGTATTTTCTCAAAACCTTAACAAAACCATTTGTATTGAGAGATTGAGAGGTGAAGCTCATATTTTCATCGTAATTATTATCTGCTTTTGGTAATATTAATGTGACTGTCCACGGTACAGGTCCGGGAGACACAGCAGCAGCAACAGCAGTGGGAAGTGCAACACAGTCCCTGGGTACACCAGTGGTGGCTTATACTCCCCGTCTTGCACGTGCCCCTCACACAGTTGACTTTCTAACTCCTGCACCACAACGCTCAGCTCAGGTATTAAGAACTTGTGTGTGTGTGATTTTTTAAACATTAAGCTTAGTATTCAGTAACTAGTTAACACATTTTCACCAATGAACTTAGTTTTCAAAAATCTTCCTCTCCTTGCAGGCAGCAGTGCATGTGCTGAGTGGGGTCGGTGTGGATGCCATTAATATCGTGCATACAGCAGACATAGAAGGTGTGACTCTCACTGAACACTTCATAACAGCGGCTGAGTATGTTTATATTTGTGTAGAGAAGGTGTTAGAGGAAGGAGACACCGTGGGGCTGACCCAGGTGCTGGAGGATGGCCCTGGTACACTGGTCATCCTTGGCACCAGACACAAAGTGCAGAGCCTGGCTTTGGCGTTGGGCACTGTTGACGGCCCTGTTGATCTCCTGCTACTGGTAGAGAGCGGAGGTCCTGTTCCTCAGGTGGAACTGGCTGGTCTGGAGGTACCTGCTCTTATCATGACACGCATCGTCCCAAGTCTTTCCGAGTTTGTTTCTTTCTTAGAGCGGGACCTGGAGAGTGATGATGACCCTCGAAGGCACTACTTGGCCGCCCTCTCTGAGTGTGAGTCCTGTGGTGAAGTAAGCTTTGGTTACGTGGCTGATGCCAATTCTGCTATTGCCTCAGTGTTGGTGTATGCTGAGGCATTAAAGGAGGCACAAGACGCACACTGCGGGGGTGAGGCAGGACTGTGTCACGAGGTGAAAACTTTAGACATTTCTACATGGAATGAATTACTGTCCTCTGCCTCCTTGGTAACGTCAGCAACTAAAGCCTTCCCTGGTCTACTGAACGACAACCTTGCACCTGGCAGTGAGGACAAACCTCGCTACACCGTCCAAGTTCTGGCACATGGCAGCCTCACTCAAGTCAGTACTGTACACACCTTTCTAAGTCACCAGTGTATAAGTGTACATATATCACACACTTTAATACTTTTTCATTTGTTTTCCTGTCAGTGTAACTTATTCTTAACATTCGCCAATAACATTACACATCAAAAGGTGGTGTCTGTGATAGTGTCCACGCTTCTGACCCATACATCAGTCCTTGCCACATAAAGCCTTTCAGCAGCTTCTTTCTCCAATTGAAGTTAATGTCCCTTTTCATTAGAGCTTTTAGATTATTAGACGCTGTTTTTGCTTGCTCTAATCTTGGTATAATTTCTTTCCCACTCCGACCATCACAGCGTATGTCACTTCCCAAATACACAAAATTTTCCACCTGTTGCCTACATAAATTTTTATTTTAGGATTTATTTTCGATTTGGAAGCACCCATTACTTTCGTCTTTATCCGTAAATGTAAAATAAAACTCGCAAATTTTCACATGTTGAGTGAACTACAAGTGACAGAACAGGTTTTGAGTGGGCTGAGTGATATAGAGTGAAATATTGAGGTTGTAAAATAAACGTCGAATAAAACAGTGGTGGTCTCATTGTGCAGGTGGGCCAGGCAGAGGAGTCTTCGGCAGTGCTGGGGATGCTCGAGTTGCCGGAGCCCAACTGTGGTACTCAATGCCCCTGTAGCCTCCCGCCTCCAGCCCTCACGCTACCTCCTGTCCGCAACGTCACACACGCATCTTCAGGTGAGGGATAATATTACTGTCTTCAAGTTACTAGTTGTCCCCACCACCGTGTTGTTCTCACCACCGTGTTGTTCTACTCACCGTGTTGTCCTCACCACCGTGTTGTCCTCACCACCAGGGTTCGACATCATGGGTGGAGCCGAGTGGTGGAACTGGGAGGCGCCTAACCCAGGTAAGATGAGCAAGAGGGAACTGGCTGTTTATTTCACCGCCTTCACCCTCCTAGTCCTCATCTTCATCACTTCCTGTGGGGTCTGCCTTTACAGTTTAAACAAGACTCCCAGCAGAAGTTAAGCCGTGTCATCTGGGGGCAAAAGATAAGAAACCAGTGTGTTTCTAATATGATCTACCATGAACAAGTAACTTAAATTACTTGTTGCAGAAGGTATTCATATTTTGGTAAAGATATGATCATGTAATTGGTTGTACATGTACAGTTGCGGACATAATTTCCTGGACACTTGAGGATCCTGAAGTGAGGTGTGATTGGAATTCTAACATAATTTTTCAAATTCTATTCGCATTAAGGATTATTTTATCCATTTTGTGATTCCTGCATAATATGTAATGAATAAGCAACGCTATTAGACATAAATTAATTAAATACAGTTTATAAAGCTGAAGTAGATGCCAGATATTGACAACTGTCCTGGGAATTTTGTCCGTAACTGTACATTAACTTGTATTTTTTTTTATTATGCTTTTATTATTTTATCAAAGTGTATAGATTTTTATATATATACAAGATCCACAAATTACAACGTAGGAAATCTCTCCAGTTTTTCAGCATAAACAGACGACTTTCCTGATGTAATGATTATCGAAATGTGGGGTGTTTAGGTACAAGAATCCAAATTTAATGTCACAAACCTATTTTCTCTTTCAAAATGGCACATATATCACTATAGGCATTTTCACGTATTATAAACAGCTAAATGTGATGTTTTTTTTTAAGGGGGGGGGGCTGTAAGTGCTGGTTGTTAAGTAAAGGCTACAAGAGGTGCTACTCTGAGGTATTGATTAAAGATTTACTGTTATCTTAAGACTCTTGCCTTCAACCTTACCTGTGTCGTGTCTGTGGTGTGTTTGATGTCTTTACTTACCGTTGCTATCTGTGTGTCTGTCTGTCTGTCTGTCTGTCTGTCTGTCTGTTGTTTAAGAGAATCCATATATTGTGTTTTTGGTCAAGTTTATATTTTTTTTTTCATTTTTTTTTTTTAGATTTTTTCCCTCAGAATTTAGTTAATTTTATTTAGCTCATCGTCATTCTACTTGTCTTTATTCACCTTATTATTTACTTCTTTCTGTCTCGTCTTGACATTCTTATCACATTTCTATCTCAACTTTAAGTGTGGATCTCTTTAATACATTCCTCTTTACTTGAATGTTTATCTGGTCAGTATAATTCCTTTGTTTTTTTGTTCGAGTTAACTTTTATTGTGTCACCCAGATGAATATTTCACGAACTTGTTTTAATTCATCATATAATGTGACGTCACAATAGAGGGGTTCATTATTTTAACAAGTTACCATCACTGATACACGTAATTCAATCCTTTTTCTACGTCTTTTTCTTTAATACTTCTATGTAAAATTCTTAATCTGTTTTTAATTATCTTTTCCTGAACCTTATAATCCTTTGTCTCATCTGTTTTTCTTAGCATCATAGACACTTGGTCAATCCTGCTCAAGTCTTCCTCCTGGCCAGACATTACTGACAGTTTTCAATATTTGTCTTGTGATTTTTTTTTTTTACGATTTTTCCATAAGACAAATATACCATAAAAAAGCTTAAACCTTGTTCTTTTCATTATCATAAATCACAGCCAAATCATATAAAAAATAACAAGTTTTTATAGATAGATTATATGAAAAACTATTACACAAAGATCCATTTTATTATATTTCAAAATTACATGACTACAATTGACAAGTTACTTTCAGATAACATATTTAACGTTAGAACAAAAGTAGGAATAGTTAGTGAACAGTTTATGAAGTATTATACCGTCAGATAAAATGAGAAATATATTTTACTACATCCCAAACGGTAAACAATATTGCAATTTAGTGAGCATGAAATTAATTACAGGAAATGGGGTGAGGATTTTGTGTACACCGGCTTTGTACATTTTATACCTACACTCTATATACTGTACTGTACACTCTCAATTAATGTACAGTTGCATGGTGATTTTTCTTTATTATATATGTACATCCAACTCTACCTCTTCCACCCTCCTTAAAATAGAGTTAAGTATTTGTCCGGTCACGAATCTTTACTTGTTTCTGTTGATATTACCGTCACACACTGATACTTCACCGCCAGACCGTTTTACGTCCCCTAATACTCTCCAGACTCTCCCATTCCCACTTATACTCTCCTTATATACTTATCTTCCTGGGCACGATTATCCGTAATTCACCCAATCCGAACTCTTTTATGTTGTCTTTGTACTCAAGATTGATTTAGTTACTGGTAAAGAAATGACTCGTTTTCTATGAAACTTAAATCACAAAAAACGACTAAATATATGGTAAACTAAAAATATTCTTAAGTAATGAAGGCTATAGTGATTTATGGTAGGTTCAGTAAAAGTAATTTATAAATAATTACCGCTAATGACACATAAATTATTAGTAATTCTTATTTCCTCTTTAGTCCTTATGACATAGTTCAAAAGGACTGATGGCAACAAGGTGAAAGAAATAGGATACAACAGACCATCAAGTATATCTGTCTGTATTGGCGTACGTGTGTATGTACACAGTATATTTGAGTTTATGTTTGTTAGGTAACCTGAAGTTCTCGAACCATTGTGATTAGAAAGTAAATCAAGCTATTAAGCTTCCTCGTTTGGGTTCTGTCACCCCGTCTGGTCCCCAGAGATATTTTAGACTGTCAATCGACTGAAAAATTCGAAGGAAGGCCACCAGACTGGTGCCTCCACTATGGCACCTCAGTTACTCCGATATTTTGGAACACCTGCAGTTGCATGGCTTATACTACAGACGAGTAGGGGTTAATTAATAGAAGTCTATAAACATCTCGGAGAACATTACACAGTCGAGTGTTCATACTTGGAACTGAGGGGTGCCCGTCCCACTTGGAGTCACAGCTTAAGATTGAAGAAGCCACAAGTTCAGAATTCTTGGAACCGCCTGCCAGAGAACTCAATCAAGACCTGACGTAGGTATACATGCCAATACATGGGCAGTACTTGCCAACAGTGCGTAACCGACAGACCAAGCGGCTAACGTAAAGTAAAGAATCGCCAAGAATAGTTTACTGGGAGTAAGTTTTTTAATAATAGTTAGCCCAAATAGTTTTGTTTTCTGTTTTGTCTTTTAGTAATAATAGAAAACGAAGTTTATGGGTAACAAGGCTAATACATATAAACCAATTTCTCATAAGCTCCCAATATTAACTCGTGATTAGTTTTATTGTTTATGGGTTTTTATTTACGCCCCTCATTTAGGGACGGCTGTCCTCTGTAGACTGCTCGTGGGTGTAAGTTATTACCAAGGAATGAAACAGTGGAGTAGAGGTTCTATAGGGGGGCAGGTATTTTCATATGGTATGAAATATAGATACAGCGGTAGTGTGTCCAAGATATTGGCGATTAAGATGAATTTACAGACTTCGTAAAAGGATTTGTTTGGTGGCAGTAAGAAACAAATTGGCTGACACTCGGAATATTGTGTTTCCTATTTTCACAACAATTCGACATTGAGTAAGATCAAAGGAATGCTTTCTCAAGAATACCCAACATGGCCCACAGAGTGTTGCGACGGCACCGAGTGTGGGCTCATTGAAGACCAGACTTGACCAACACTGGAGCAGGTACAGATACATTCTGGAGCCAATACATGCCCATTACTTGCCAACAGTGTATGACAGAGACGTAACGTAACCGACCGCCCAAACGGCAAACGAGCCGATCCATGGTGAAGAGGATAAAGTAAAGGCAGTAGCCAAGTCTGATCCTGGCGGCAACTGCTTCACTGAGCCGAGTTCATTTGTTCCGGCCATATTGATATTTTGTCACAGTATTTAACTTAGTGGCTAACACTGGCACCTCGCTGTTCACTACGTTCTTCCTTTATGGTATGAGGAGCGTCTCGACTCGACCAACATTTCTAAGGTTACCGAGGGTGGAGGCGGATTTGGCGAGGTACTCTACGTAGTCGTGTTTGTAAACTTGTGATAACGAAATAACAAAATCAATGGTACGGCCATAATAGCAGATACCTAGAATTAATTGCCTGACGATATGCTTATAAATTTCACTTATTATCGTTATCTCACATTACTGATGCGGAAATTTCTAAACAAAACATTCGTTGTCATTGGTAAAAATGGATAGAATTACTGAATATTTCCTCACTAAATACTGCAGATAATTGGCTGTGGGGTTATAGTTCAGTTTTGAGAATTATTTTTATTTTTTAGGGGGGGGGGGGGTTCACGCGTTTTGACAATTTATGAGAGACTGTAGGAGAATAAATAGGGTTTAGTCAGTAGTTTGTTTCAATGATATCTAGACGTCTGTTTCTTCTCAAATATTGTTTCAAAAATGTCAGTTTGTTTCACTATCGTCTTCGTTCTGAAGTGTTGTTAGTGACGAGGCTTCACCAGGAAGTCGATTATCTACCTCGTATATATGGGTGAAGGGGCCGGGCTGCCTCCTCTTCATGCTGTAGTCACCTTGGAAAGTTCGTGTCCTCGGCAATCAGAATGAACTACTGGGGTGAACCCTGTGAGTCCTCTGGTTCAGTGCTCTTTAAGAAAGTCTCCTAACAGTTGGAGCACATCACGCCTGGCGACTTTATACATAAGCTCTTTAACTATATTTATATGTTCCTCACTGGATATAATTTTATTACAACAATACCTTTTTTTTTGTCTAATCCACAACATTATTACACTGTGTAGTCATACCAGTCTTTGTGTTGCTACTGACGTCATTTATTTTCTTATTTGAGGTGTGTATACAAGCAACGCCATCTGTGGGTAACCTGAGACAATATCAAGGCCCCTTTAGTTTAAAACCTCGTAGCCAGAGGGCAGACAGTCGGCCGTAGTTCCAAGGCTCGGTTTCGGATTCAGAATCAACAGTTCACAATGTTTATATCATAGAGGCACCGCGGCTACACTGAGGGCTGGACCGTCGGATACTGCTGGCTTATGGCTCAGTCCCGACAGAATAGGTAATGATCTCTTTTTCTTTAAGTTAAATTCCAAATACCTCATAGTATATATTAATGTTTACATATACAGGTGCTTTTACCGTAACTTAAACACACAGACGCCAACCATGTGCTGGGGAGAAGTTCCACACCTTCACTAAATACTGTGTGTGTGTGTGTGATGGTTTTCTTGTTTGTTTGGTTGATGTCTAGGAATCACACTTAACCTAACCTAACCATTAACACCAAGGACCCTAACCTAACCTATCCCAACAACACTGGAATCCCACATGACTCGAGAACCCCCAAATGAAACCAGATTATAATAAGTTAATCCCCCCAGATCTTTTTAATCTCTCTCCCATGATGAACTTAAATCCTGATAAACAAAAAACAAAAATAGATCCCCCTAAAAAATCATCTGGTGTACCTATCCTGCCGATATTCTTTCCTGTATCGCCATAAAGTTTTCCGATATCCCGCCACCAAACTAAATTTATTTTCCAATACCTCACTAGTTTCTGTCTTCTGCTTCCTACATGACCATATTTACTGGAGAATATTTTTGTTTTATTTTATTTGCCAATTTATCATTATTTTTTTTACAATAGCTGGAAAATAGTTGTCCTGTGGTTGAAACGTGTGAGTGTGTTTTTTTTTTAATGGGGGAGGAGTTATTTCTGGGTCAAAGGTCAAAGGTTAAATATGGTATAATCTATAACCACCTGATATTACTGTATTGGTCATATATTTGTTATGCCACCCATTGCTTATTAAGAAGGGGGTTAATAGTGATCTGATCTTGTTCCGTTTGTTTATCTGTACCAATCGTCCCTTATTTGTGTTTGTTAGTAGTATGGTATAGTTACTCTCAACCCCAAACACACACACACACACACACACACTATACAGACACACATTATACATACAGAGATACAGACAGAAGAACACACGCACGCACGCACGCAGAAGAAGGACAGTAGACCAGATCACTGTCAAGAAATATGTGGTTACTTTAGTGTGACAAAACAGAACCTCTGAAGTATTGACGTCGTCCTGACCAGTGTGACACCTCTCTCTCTCTCTCTCTCTCTCTCTCTCTCTCTCTCTCTCTCTCTCTCTCTCTCCAAGAAAAATATTCAGTAAAGCAAATCATAAAATATTCACAGTACGACTCTGATAATACTGTAAAGGGGATGTGGTCATAGGGCAACACACACACACAAACAAACACACACACACACACACACACACACACATGCTACGCCCTAACAGGTGACTACCGAATGTTCCTCAGTCTTTGTAGGTTACGGTCTTAATAGGTCACGGTCTTAATAGGTCAAAGTCGTAATAGGTCACACACAGTCTTAATAGGTCACAGTCTTAATGGGTCACAGTCTTAATGGGTCACAGTCTTAATAGGTAACAGCCTCATTCTAAAAACCAATTAGAGCCATAATGGTCCCTGGTCTATGTTGGCCTCACCGTCTAAATTGGGAACTAGACCGAATAGGAACCACCCAATCCATATGAGGTCCCAATCGTAATGAACACTGTGGTTGGTGGTTCAATTGGGTTAAGGCACGGAAGGAATTAGAGCCTATTATAATTTACGGTCCATTAGGCATTGACCTATTACAATACTCAGTGTTTCAGTGAACGACAAGTAACAGGTACATTTACGATAACATGAATCTGTCTAAGTAACAAGATACCTACAAGTAAAAGAACATTTACAAGTAACAAGATACCTACAAGTGACAAGAACATGTACAAGTAACAAGAATATTTACAAGTAACAAAAATTTATATCAGTAACAAGAGTAGCTACAAGTAACAGGAACATTAACAACTATTATTATGTTTACGATGTGATCGGGTCAGGGGTGCAGTGTCCAGCTTGTGGCGTGAGCGGGTCAGGGGTGCAGTGTCCAGCTTGTGGCGTGAGCGGGTCAGGGGTGCAGTGTCCAGCTTGTGGCGTGAGCGGGTCAGGGGTGCAGTGTTCAGCTTGTGGCGTGAGCGGGTCAGGGGTGCAGTGTCCAGCTTGTGGCGTGAGCGGGTCAGGGGTGCAGTGTCCAGCTTGTGGCGTGAGCGGGTCAGGGGTGCAGTGTTCAGCTTGTGGCGTGAGCGGGTCAGGGGTGCAGTGTTCAGCTTGTGGCGTGAGCGGGTCAGGGGTGCAGTGTCCAGCTTGTGGCGTGAGCGGGTCAGGGGTGCAGTGTCCAGCTTGTGGCGTGAGCGGGTCAGATACACGGGAGAGTCAGGGAAAACAAGTGGTAAGGCTGAACTGAGAAAAAGTAAACGACCAATCAACAGAGTAAGGAAAAATCTCTCTCAGTCTGTCAGTCAGTTGATGATCGGTGAAGGTCTGCATTTTGGAGATCTACGAAACAAGATGGCCGTCGTATTGTTTATCACCAAGAGAGGCAATGAGGGCAGAATGGCTCTCTCTCTCTCTCTCTCTCTCTCTCTCTCTCTCTCTCTCTCTCTCTCTCGACAATTCACCTGCGAGTTTCCCTTCCCATCTCTCTATATTTGTTTAACTTTCTTTTTCTATTCCTTCTCTCTGTCTGTCTCTCTCTCACATTTACAGATGCAAATTCAATTACAAACTAACTCGAAAGGTCAACTGTCCCCTCCAAACCTTTTATCTCTCTCTCTCTCTCTCTCTCTCTCTCTCTCTCTCTAACAAGTGGAACAATAATCCTACAGTAACTAGAAAAATATTAACAATGTACAAAGTAAGAAAAATAATAGCCTTTGATCATGTAATTACGTATGACAGGATAATGGTAGAAATATTAATGGGTAAGACTAAGGGTAGACAGGCAAAGGAAAGTAGACATTGTGATAGATAGTTGAACTTCAAAGCTGAGTGTCAAGTGATGTGCAAAATCTGGGAGTGCAAAATCTGGTAGTGCAAAATCTGGGAGTGCAAAATCTGGGAGTGCAAAATCTGGGAGTGCAAAATCTGGTAGTGCAAAATCTGGGTTGGTTGACGACCACGGAGCCCTAACATTATTGAAGCTGTAGTATACGTTTTCTGTTATGCTTTAAGAACAAAGCTTCAAACCAGAATTAATGAAGCTCTTTGTAAACATTATTAGTTGACTAGTTTACCAAAGTTTACTGTTAATATTAATGGTAAATATTTTAAACAAAGATAAATGGGACTACCTGAAGAGTTAGGCACCTCAGCTTGCTTTACCTGAAGAGTAAACACCCGGTTAGGTTAGGTTAGGTTAGGTTAGGTTAGGTTAGGTTAGGTTAGGTTAGGTTAGGTTAGGTTAGGTTAGGGTGTTGAATTATATATCAGGTGAAAGGAGCTAGGTGCCTAATGATCACGTTATGCATATAGTATTCAGATTAACCTGAACAGCACTTTATACATTATATTAATAATCTATACAACATTTCCTCATACAACAACACCATCGTTCACAGTATTCAAATAACCTGTCTCCGTGTCCATGCATTAATACTTAACTGAATTATTTAAATGCTTTATAAATAATAGTCATTTATTCTATAACTTGAATCTAAGGAGTTTTTTTTTTTAATTAACCACTGTTTGTGTGAACGTCAATGGTTGTTAATTATCAGGTGATATAAACTTAATGGCCTATGATCGGTGATAGGTTGGGTTAGTGTTGTGGCGTCTCCTGGTGAGAACGGAAGGACGTACGGGTTATTTTCTGGCAACCTATTAGAATCTTTTCGCCCCCTTAGGCTTACGGCCATAGTTTTTATCATCCTGTTTTGTTACCGTAAGTCATCCTGTCGGCAACCATAGTTTTAAACGCCCGCACTCCAACGTTTGATGGGGAGGTGGCGGCGAAAAATCGAACTACTGTAATAATATTGGAATTTGAAGAGGTGACAAGTATATCCTCATCTTCACCCCTATTGTATTTGTTTTATTAATTTTATTGGATCTTTATAATAAATACGATTACTGAACAAAGTCAAGCGTAATAGTAATTTCACTTCTTTTTTTTTTCTTCTTCTTTACGTTAGTGTTTTCTGGTCTTGTTGGGGTCGTCATCCAGCCAGCATGTTATTGAAGTGTCTCTACAAATATGGCGATATATTTTATAATAGTAATAATATTCAGAAAATCGTCATACAGGTTTACAATTGGCTTAGCATGTATAGAGAGAACACATGTATATAGAAAATTTTGTATCATTTGGATCTTTACCTGATACTAAAAGAGAACTGTGAATACAAGACTTTAGTCACGTCGAGAGATTTTATAGCAGTTTTTTAAGTGAGTTTTCATCTGAACGGTATTAGCTGATAAGTAAGGCGTGAGCGTCTGTAAGCAAATGCATCTTCGTCATACCAACCACACGAGTCAAACGATCCATAATGCATCAGCGGAAGTGGACAGGCTTACAAACCTTACCCTCGATGGGGAAGAGGTTCGAGCGATTAAAACTACGGCTCAATGAAACGACTCTTACTTGTGGGTTCTTTGTGGAAGGAGGAAGGTGCGTCCATGAGTGCGTGCGTGCGTAATATTTCCACATGTTTCCTTAACTTCCCTGTCAATTTCCACATTTGTCTTTCAGTACTGTCTCTCTCTCCTTCCATTATTCTTTAAAGTTTTCTGTACCCTTCATCCACCCTATACCAAAGAATAGAAAAGATAAATAAAAGATAAATAAATGCAAATATAAAGAGAGGATACTAAACATACAATTAGAGTATTGGGGGGAAAAATATCGTCAAAGAGAGACAGACAGGCAGGGAACGCTTAACATACCGTGACGCCCCCTGTAATGGAAACAATATGTAAAATATATGCAGCTCTTTGTATGTTAATGGTACCACGAGCTCGACAGTAGGATACAGCGGGAAATTTAAAGGTAAAATATGGAAGAGATGTGTGTTTATAGATACAAGTGTGTGTGTGTGTGTGTGTGTCTCTCTCTCTCTCTCTCTCTCTCTCTCTCTCTCTCTCTCTCTCTCTCTCTCTCTCTCTCTCTCTCCACACCTCAGTATCTCACAGGTAAAAGCAGTTGGCTGTGAGCTCCGTCGTAAAACACTTCACAATGTCAACATCATCTCTGCACTAATGATAACTTGTGCCATAATACGACGCCTGAGGGAGGGAAGGAGGGAGGGATCGAGAGAAAGAAGGAGGGAAGGGGAGGAGTGGAGAATGGGAGAGAGGGAAGGTGGTGGGAAGGGCAAGGATGGAAAGTGGTAGTGAGGAAGAGAAGGAGGAAGGGAGTTAGTGATGGAAGGATGGATGGAGTGAAAGAGGGTATGAAGGAATGAATAAAGGGATGGAAGGAAAGGGGATGTGAGGTAGGGATGGAAGAAGGGAGTGAAAGGAGGAGGGAAAGACTGTGGGATGGGGAGGGGAAGGGAGTTGAGAAATGATGATGGGAAACAGTGAGGGACTTATACAAAGCACCGCCCACTATGTACACTATGCTTGTAACTGGTGCTGTAAGGTTGCAACATTCTATTTTCTAAGCCAAGGAGAGAGAGAGAGAGAGAGACTAAGAGAACCTGGTACAATGCCAACCTCCTCGTCGTGTTTGGACATGTTTTATTAATCCTTGGGAGACAGAAGAGAGAAAAGTCGTGTTCTTTGAGTCTTGAGTCTACAACACACTCAGCTTCCCTTGTGTTTATCAGTCGTATTCAACAAAAAGTATTTTCCTATTTTTGTCTCCCGTCAGGCCAAGGGCAAGTGGCTGGGGACGGAGGGGGGGGGGGGAATACTACCCGTCCGTTCTACCTTCTGTCCGTCTGTCTGTGTTTGTCTATGGGACGGTTACTCAAACAAGGCAAATGAGTTCAAGAAATAAATTCATTCCCTGTAAAAAATTAATAGTTAGGGGCATAGTATGTACTGTGGCTCTTTCACTGTTTAAGCATCATTAGTGTAAACTGTGGCACCTTAACCATATTACCAATCCCCTGAACTTTGGTATAAATGATGTTATAGCTAAAGAAAGATAATGATGAAGGTGTTTGATGGTGATGTTGGAGGGGTATTTATTTGTCACTAAATTCATGATCGAGGAAGTAGACTCACAGCAGTAAGTGGAACCAAACATTGTAAGGATATCCAATGCGACTTTGTACATGTGATGGGAACTAGCTGAGATACCTTCTAGGTTTACAGTTACTTGCCATTTGGATTCATACAGCACATACCCATTTGAATGTGTGTTTTTGCTTCGTCTGAAAACTTGGAAACGTTGACGATCAGGAAAGATTCTGAGTGAAAGACTACCACTACCAATAAGACTATGTAAGGGAAGGGGGAGGTAAGGGTTATATTAGGGGAGGGTTAAGTTAAGTTAGGTTAGGTTAAGTTAAGTTAGGTTAAGTTAAGTTAAGTTACGTTAGGTTAAGTTAGGTTAAGTTAAGTTAGGTTAAGTATGGCTAAGTTAAGTTAGGTTAAGTTAGGTTAAGTTAAGTTAAGTTAAGTTAGGTAAAGTTAGGTTAAGTTAAGTTAGGTTAAGTTAGGTTAAGTTAAGTTAGGTTAAGTTAGGTTAAGTTAAGTTAGGTTAGATTCTTCAATTTTGTTGTTGTTGTTTACTATGGTAACTTTTATGGCTTCATGATAAATATAATCAACTTGTAACTTTATTTCGATTTATTCTCCGTTAAACATCGTAATTAAACTCTTCCTGTTGTCTTTACACCATTAATGAATAACATGATTTATTTTCCCTTGGTAATGTATTTAGCGTAAATCTTCCCCCAGTCGTCCAGATATTCAGGGAAACGAATATTGCTCGGGTTTTTTTTCTTCCGGTTTGATGATTAATTAAAGTCAACATTGCCAGAAGAGGGAGAGGAAGATGATAAGGAGGAAGAGGAGGAAGAGGAGGAGGAGGAGGAGGAGGAGGAGGAAGAGGAGAAGGAGGAGGAAGTGTCTTAATAATCTTACTGCGATCTGTTCTGGAGTTATGTAGAAACACTCAGACAGACAGACAGACGGTGACACTCAGACAGACAGACAGACAGACAGACGGTGACACTCAGACAGACACTCAGACAGACAGACAGACGGTGACACTGGATTCTCTTTTTTTTTTGCCACCCTGTTGTCGTCATCGTTGTCATTATCGGCGTCAATCGTCAAGCAAAAATTCCTAAAAGAATATAAATAAAAGAACATCTCTAACTCCCCACCCACACACACACACACACACACACACACACACACATACATATACACACATACACACATTGGTAACAACAGTTGTATAGGACGAGAGCCAATCTGACCATGGAAAATTTAATTTAATTTTAGGG